TTTGACATGGCTTCATTATAATGTTGATGAGGGGAAAAAGTTAATTCCTGGCCAAGGCCACTATCTGTGCAGAGCTTGCACTTTCTCCATGTCTTCATAGGTTCCCTCCAATAGATGAGCACATGAGGGGAGCTGGAGTGTCTAAGTGGTCCCAGTGTGAATGAATGTGGTGGCTGTGAGTGCACTCTGTGATGGAAGGTTGTCCTGTCCAGAGAGGGCTCCTGCCTTGTGCTCTGTGCTGCCGAGATAGGCCACCCAGAGCAGGCATAAGTGGTTTGTAAAATAATTGTTTTACTTGTTTTTATTAATCTTCCTTAAATGTATGTATAGTTTACATTTATTTTAATGTTCAATATTAGAAGTGTTTTAGGTCTTTATTTAGAGATTTGGTGATGTTTTTGTGACCACAAGTATGCCACAGGAATTTTACACATTTATATCAATTAGCCTATGGTGGAAGTAATTTTGTTATAGAATCTACTGATGTTGATAATGAGGACTTACTGTAAAATGACACAAGAAGTTGTGGCTGATTAGAATATATAGCATAGAGCAAAGAGCTAGATACATTTAAAAACTGGATCTAGAACTCTTCTTTTCAATCTAAGGGCCTAAACTGGACTTATAAGATTCAAAGATTAGCGAGGATGAACTTCTGTGCCATTAAGATATGAAAAATGAGTCTTGTGATAATATAGTAGTCATTTTGGGCCTATCCCAAATTTTCAAAACCTGTCACAATACACATTCTTCACTAATCAACCAATTGAAAATGCAACTGAGAAGAAAGAAAGTTCTCAGAAAGAGGGCTCATGGACATAGACAACAGTGTGGTGATTGAGGTTGGGAGGGGGTTGTAAAGGGACTACTTAATGGTAATAGAAAAAATACAATTAAAACAGTTTAAAAAATAAAGAAGAGGAAAGGAAGGAAGTTACATTATTTCAGGAATCCTGTCTTGCTCAGATGGAGATCTGTGGTTGGAATTATGATGCTTTTTGTGAACCTTACCTGAATAAACATTAGATATAATTTGACATCTAAGCTTATCCCAACATTGGAGAGAATTAGGGTTACTTTTCAGTCATTTAGTAAAATCTACATGGAACTGCATGACCCACATTTTCTCTTGACTGGAAGAAAATGGATGGCAACTCTAAGGAACAGACATGAACTGTCAAGGCTTGTTATTGGGCAAGGCCAGTGGTGTTGGAATAAAGGAAATGCACACAAAAGCCTGGGTCCTACAACTTTGGAGATAGATGATGCTGCTGAGGTCACTGGGTCTGTGTGTTACAGACAGGGATAGGCCCGGAGTGGAGTCTGCCTCACACCTGCCTGCAGTGTGTGGGTGCTTGACTTCATGTAGGCAAGATTTCACAAGTCCAGGTTATTATGAGAGTATTTATTAAAAATGTGGACAGTGAAACAAAGGAAGATCTTAGGGTAGAGGAAGTAACAGGAGAGCCTAGGCAGTGCTCGCTAGGAAAGGGAGCTTTGGCTCTCTAGGAAAGTTATAGGAAAGGAAGAAGCCAAGGTGGGGCTGCTGTTAACTCTCTGGGAACTGAAGGTCACAGAGACAGAACGAACCAAGGTGGAGTTGCTTTAAGCAGACAGGGGAGTCAAAGAGAGGGGGCCTTGGAGACAGAGTCAAGTGGGTAAGTCCCCATGTTAGGGGAAGGGGCATGGGCCTGTCCTGAGTCTTTATCCTGAGGGCTTTTAATCTTTTTTCTGTGGGTGGGAATCTTAGTGGAGGGTTTCAGAGAAATATTCATCAGCTTTCCAGGTGCATTTTAAATATGCTCATGTGTCAAAAATGAGTGCATAGGAAGGATTTGGGAATAATCTTTGGTCTGCCATACTGTTTTACTTTATCTTGGATCTGTCTGGCTTTTAATGGGGTTTTGTTATTTGTTTCTCTGACTTGCTCTGTCCTTGGATTTAGCTGGCACGAATTATGTTAATTGGGTCTCTGTTCTCTATTTCCCAGACCAGGGTGATTTAAGCTATGTATTGTTTGGTCAGGGAGCAGAGGTATAAACCATTTGCCCTCGTTTTGGTAAGACTTACCTGAATATTCATTATATATAATTTGACATCTAAGCTTGCATTTCACCAGCTGGCTGTATGTTGCTCAAACTCTTTTTGGCCTTGTTCAATTTTCTTGTCTCAGTTTCCCCATTCCACTTGCCCAGGAATTTTCCTAGGTTCTTATTATCTTGTCAAATGTGGATTCCCACTGTGTGCAGAGATTTCTGCAGGTATGAGGATCTTTCTTGGAGACAGCTGCAGGGAATACAAAGTGGGATTCTGGGCACCCAACATTTCTGCAATCAGGGAGGGCCCATCTGATTAACAAATTTGGGTTCTGCACAAGACTTTGTATAAAAAAAGACTTCACTGTATGGCACAACAATGTTTAAAAATCATGGTAGTCAGGGTCCCCTTTCCCCTGTCCCTATTCCAGTAGTATTGCATAATTATGAGAAGGAACGGCTAAGGATGGATGCTCATGAGCTAGTCTCATGCACAAATGTATTTTTTTCAACAAATATTTAAGAAGCTCCTGTTAAGTAGCAGCTAAAGTGCTTAGCCAATATTTCAGAGTGGCTAGAATGAGGTACATGGCAAGTGGAAAGTGGATACCGATTTTCTTGTCAGAATGAAATGATTTGATAACAGTTGGCACATAATAACTTTTTAATAGACTCAGCATGTATTCCAAGTAGAATTATCAAGAAATGACAAGCTTTCCCTTTCTACCCACACTACAGAACTAGATATGGGCATCCCAATGATAAGCTCACCATTTGGGATTTCATTTCCAAAGATATTCACTCTGTTCCAAAAATTGGTGGGGGACTAACTGCACGGAGAGATAAAGGCTGGTACAGTGGGAACTGCTGGCTTGGGCTCCAAGGAAGCAGAGGAAAAGTAAACACACTGCTTGGAACTCTGCTCTTTGATTGTTAGAGAGACAGCAGTGATATCTGCAAGGGGAGCTGTATCCAGGCCCAGTACAGGAGCAGAGGGGCCTCTGGGACTCATAGTATAAGTGACCATGGCCTAATACTCTGCAGAACGTTCTGGTATATTCCAGCATTCTGAGGCTTATATCCTCATTTCCAAGATCCCCAGGGAGAGGTGAAGTTCTGAAGCCTGAAATTCCTGGCTTCTGAGCAGTCTTTCCTACTGAATGTTGACCAAGAAGAGAATCAATTTTCCCTTTACTCCCCTCTGAAATGGTCTCTTTGTTTACTTGGAATGTTGAAACTCAGGTGACCAGCTCATCCAGGTTTACTCAGGACTTCCCTCATTTTAGCACTGAAAGTCTAGTCCTGGAAACCCTTTTATTCCCAGGCAAACTGGAATAAATAGTCATCTAAGGAAATAAGAGCCAGGTGAACAGACTGACACCACAAAAGTTAGTGGCTTAAAACAACTACCAATTTATTTGTTCTCCATTCTGCACTCTGGGCTGGGATCTGCTGGACAGATCTTCTGTTGGTCTTGCTAAGATTATTTGTATGGCTGCATTCAACCAGTCAGTTGGCTGGAGGCTGGGCTCAGCTGGGATACAAGGACATCTGGGCCATGTTCCCTGTGCAAGTAACCTTTCCATGTGCCTCTAAGGGGCTTTTTACAGTAGCGAAGCTGAACTTCTACATGGATGCACAGGGCTCTTCAGAGTGCAAAACCTGCTTATTTTCTTTGGCTTAGGACTAGGCCTGGGAATGGCACAGTGTAACTCCACCATATCTTATTGGTAAAGGCCAGTCACAGTGCCATTTTCAAATTGAGGTGGGGGACCACACAAGGAGTGAATTACTGGGGAGGTTCATAGAGGGTTACCAATGTAATAGTCTACTCCAGAGGTGCAGTTACTCACATAGGCTCCTTGGTGCCTGATTCACTCTAACCTCTTTGCTGGGCATCTTCCTTATTATTCTCATACTATCAGATAGAACAGAATATGAATAGATTAACTATTGATCAAAACCTTCAAGAACTCTAGGAAGGTGTAGGACAAGTTTATCCCCATTATCCTTACTCCTGCTAAGCATATACAGGAGGGTGCATCCCTATTTAGGTTTCCAGAGGGTTTGCAAGGAGCAACAGGTTAGGAGGCATGGGTCTTACAATGTTGATGTGAGGTAATAAATGACCTGACTCAACATTTCTTGGACAGTGAGTCTATGCCAAGGTCTCTCTCTGCTCAGGGCAGAAATTACAGAGTTCACCAAAGCACAGCACTGGTTCAAAGTAGCTGACCCTTCTCAAAATGGAATCTTCCCACCCATGCCCCAGGTCTTGTCTTAAGGTTAAAGCAATGTCAGCACAGGTCCTTCCCTCCTTTCCTCTGGACCTGCCTCTCTACTGCAGCTCTGACCATTGCACTGACCTGGTTCCCTAGTCAGCTTTCCTGAGCAGTGAGCATCCGTGTAAGGCAAGGCTCAGTCCTTCTTGAACACAGCCACGGTGAGGAGTGCACTCTTTGCCCCAGGGTGGTCCACCTGGCACTCCCAGTAGACCAGCCCAGCCCTAAGAGCAGGTCCAATCCTGCTTGCTACCACATCCCTCAGCCTTTTTCTTCCCCCCCTACACAAACTCGGTCTTAAAAAGAATCCTTGAGCTGCCTCTGGGGTTCTGGGTCTGCTGCTAGCTTTCTCCTTCTGGCCTCCTCCTCCATCACTGTGGTTACTATCTGGCCATTTTGACTTCTGGCTCCCTCCCTCTCTTTTTTCTCACCACACTGGCGAGTGTTGCCTCCGCTCTGTGTTTTAAGCCTGTTCCTCGCTGCCGTGCCCCTTCTTCATAGCTCCCTGAGCTCCGCTGCTCCTCGCCATCTCTCCCGCTGCTCCTCCGCTCCCGCTGCTCCTCACCCCTCCACCTCCTCTCCTGCTCCTCCCCTCCCGCTGCTCCTCTCCTGCTCCTCCTCTCCCGCTGCTCCTCACCCGCTGCACCTCCTCTCCTGCTCCTCCCCTCCCGCTGCTCCTCACCCCTCCACCTCCTCTCCTGCTCCTCCCCTCCCGCTGCTCCTCTCCTGCTCCTCTTCTCCCGCGGCTCCTCACCCGCACTTCCTCACGGCTGCTGGCCCAGCTCCCGCTCGTGCCTCTCAGCCTCTGTGGACCCGCCACTATGGCCGACATCAAGACGGGCATTTTTGCTAAGAACGTCCAGAAACGACTCAACCGAGCGCAGGAAAAGGTCAGAAGCGGGCGGCAGTGCAGGTGGCGGGGATGGGACGGCGAGGGCCTAGAGGGCCAGGGGAGCGAGGGAGGCCTGGCGTTAGCGGGGTCGCGCTGACGCCCTGCCCTCTGCCGAGGCGACTGCAGCTGGGCAGCACCGGGCGCTGCGGACAGAGGCTGCCCCGGAGGCGGGACGCTAGTGGAACACCGACCCGGTCCCCAGAGGCGCGGGGTCTACGGAGTCGGAGTCTCCGGCTCCCTCTCCCCCTGCTCGGCTGGCAGCGCTGTCCACTCTCCCGGCTGACTCTGGGCAGGAGCAGTCGCAAGTGCGGCGGGTCGCCCGCTGTCCGCGAGCTGAGAGCATCTGCCTCCCGGAGCCCATTCTCGGGTCTCCGCAGGGAACTGGTAGGGAGGCGCCCGCAGGTTCTGGCGGGAGATTGCGGCTGCAGTTCTTCCTCTGAGGGTATTTACTGGCTATGTGAGTGCAGCAGAAATAAACAGTTTAGCACAGAAGATACTCCCCAAATCTCTGTTTTGATCAACAGGACCGATCGAGAAAACCAACAGCTTTAATACAGGGCTGTGCAGTGAATCCTGGAGTTCAAAACAGATAATCTGCATGCAGTTTTGTTTTGTTTTGTTTTTTTGTTTGTTTGTTTTCGTCTATTGCTTTGGGTTCTCTGTGTGTGCCCCCTTTGGACGCGAATGTCCTTCTCTGGAAGGTCAAAAGTGAATATGACCTGAATCTTACAGTTCTTCTCTGCACATTTTTTGTACAAAGGATGGGGCTTCATTGCTTTAAAAAAAAATTGGTATTGCACGAGTTGGATTCCCTGTTGTTTTACAAGCCCCTCAGTCAATTGGGCACAGTGATTATTTTTCTCACCTAGTGACGTGCACAAATGGATCCCAGATCCATACCGCACAGCCCTCAGCAGTTGGAGGGAGATCGTACTAGGCACAGGGCTGGCCTGGCTGCCCAGAGACTGCTTGTTATGAAGACATTGCTGGCGCTGAGGTCCTCATTTGTGTTCTGAGCAAAGGACATTCTGCTCAAAAGGTAGTTTGAGAGTTGTACTTGAAAAATTACATCAACTGAGTTTCATGTTTTGTATCAGTCCAACTGTGTTCTCTTCTACATGGCAGGATTTTCCATCCCTGGGGTACCGGGTTTTTTTACTGGCACTTTCCTATTTTACTGGAAGTCAGATTTGCAGTTGCTCACTAGGACAGTGAATTTTTCTCTTCCCAGGCTCAGGCTGCCCTCCACTCCCGCTGACCTAGAAGCTGAGCAGAATAGGGCACCGGTCCCTTTGCCTGTCTGCAGGCTGAGAGACTGGGTCCCTCCCTTTACATGGTACACTCTCAATGCAGTAAGAGGATTGTATTTCTTTTAATATCTACCCAAGCTCATCCTAAACTATCGTGATCCTCTCCCACCGCTCCTTCAGTAGCTGCATTAGCAAGGCTTCCTGCCCATTCCAGTCCCTGATTACTTGTCCAGAAAATAGCCAGGATCTATTGGGATCTGGGATCTGAGCCAGGTTTTGTCATAATTTTTTCATACTTCATTCTACCCACTTGTAGGTATTCTCTCCCTCCCTCCAAGTAATTACTTGAGTCTTTGGTTTGAAGCTTTCCATTGAATCCACTTCCATCTGTGAATGAATTTAGTGGTACAGCCTGCTTTTCACATATTATTTCTTAATCTAGGTCACCAGCTGTTAATATGCCAAAAATAAATGAAAAGAAAATATAATCTATCTTACACAGTATTCAAGCCCTTATGAATTGTTGAAAACTCACTTTTCATTATTAAATCCAAGTGTGTATTGTGATTACAGCTGTGGATGGTGCTCACTCTTTTACAGGAGTTGGGGTGGCGTCTAAGGGAACCTTGCTTGTACAGGGCCTCAAGTGTCCTATTTCCTTTCATGGTGAAAGTTGCTGATGAAAAATGCCTGTTGCACTTGCTTTTAGGAGGTTAAGACTCCAAGAGGCTGAGAGTGTGGGTTCTGCCCCTGGGAAAGTTCTGAGCCCTTCCCAAGCCTGTGCAACACAAAAGGGAAAGTCGCGTGTGGGAATCCAGGTAACAGTCCAGCTAAGCCCAAAGGAAGTTAGCTACTGGGGAACAGAAAGCACAGTATACTGCAGGCTTCATTAGCTATCACCCCCAGTGATGCCTTCTTTTTTCATTTTTGGCCTATTCCTCTTCTCCAACGCACAGACACTCCATTGCAATAACTATATGCTACATATGTTCTTGAAAGTCTTTCTCCTTGCTTTTGCAAACAAATTTTCTTAAAAAAGAGTCTATTCCCTTGACTTTCCCATTATCTGTGCTCTAACAGCTTGCATGATTTTCACTTCAAGTGCAGGAGTGAAACTACTCTGAGAGGTGACTGTGAATTTAAAATACTTTTTTCTTATTAAAAATCTATAAAGCTTCAATGGAGATAGAATTAAATATACATATAAGCTAAAAAAACCCTCACAAAATTAGGTCATTCATAATTCCATTACCCAGAAATTTTACTATCATTTGATCTGTATCCTAGTAGATCTATTTTTAACAATATGTATAGATACCGTATATAAATATACAGTAGACCTGTATATTTATAAAACTAAAATATAGACTTATGCTACAGTAGTTTCCCCTTATCCTTGGTTTTGCTCTCTGTGGTGTCAGTTACCCACAGTCTGAAAATATTAAATGGGAATTTCCAGAAATAATTTGTAAATTTTATATTGTATGCCATTCTGGGTATCATGATGAAATCTCATCTTCTGTCCTGTCTCACCTGTGATGTGAATCATCTTTTTGTCTAGCATCTCAACCTGTATACATGGTATCACAGTGTTTGTTTTCAAGTAACCTGTATCATCTGAAAGTCAGTAGTAGCCTAGTACTATGTCAATACCTTACTTCATCTCACATCATCACAAGAAGAGGAAGAGTGAGTACAATACCATTAGATATTTTGGGAGAGATCACATTCACATAACTTTTATTACAGTATATTGTTATAATTATTCTAATTTAATATTTTTGTTGTTTGTCTCTTTCTGTACCTAACTTATAAGTTAAAATTTATCATCGATATGTATTTATAGAAAAAAAACATAGTGTACATAGGGATTGGTACTATCTGGTTTCAGGTATTCATTAGGGGTCTTGGAATGTATTCCCCATGGATAAGGGGGGAATGCTATATATGAGTTTGTAATCTGTTTATTTCATTTAATAATCATGAACATTCTTTAATACATGTATTTTTTTCAATCAGCATTTTAAATGACTGAATAGTATTGGAATGTATGGACTTTATTGAATCCCCTATATTTTGGACATTTTGTGTTCAATGTTCCTAGTTATAAATACAGATCAGAGAGAAAACTTGCAAGGAAAATGTTCCCAGGCACCCTTAAGTATTTCCTTAAATAAACTCCTAGAAGAATTATTGTTTCAGAAGTACACTTATTTTTATTATAGCTAGATTGCCATTCAGAGAGGTTGTATAATTTATATTCTTACCAGCAGTCAATGAGAAAGTTGCCAACACAGGATTATAATTTAAAACAGTCTTTAGCTATGTCATTGGAAAAAAATTTGTTTCAATTTATTTTATTTGTTTGAATTTTGGAAACTGAACATTATTTTTTGCATTTCTACATTTTTCATTTGCTAACTGTGTGTTTATATTTTTGCTCATTTTGTGTAGTACTTTCTTGTTACTCGTAAGGGCAAAACCATATCAGTCCTGAAAGTTATAAACATTTTTTCTTCGTTTTCTATCTACTGTTTAATTCTTTAAAAGATTATTTATTTCTTATCTATTTTTAGAAAGAGGGGAAGGGAGGGAGAAAGAGAGAGAGAGACATCAGTGTGTGGTTGACTCTCTCGCACCCCCTCCTGGGGATCTGGCCTGCAACCCAGGCATGTGCCCTGACTGGGAATCCAACCGAAAACTTTTTGGTTCGTAGGCTGGTACTCAGTCCACTGAGCCACATCAGCCAGGGCTACCGTTTAATTTTTGATGATTTTTTCCTGATATAGAGAATATTTATGTTTTATCTATATTTGCTTAAATCTATTTAATGATTTTGTGTGATTCTCATATGTGCAGAATTAGTCAGAATCCTGCCACTTGTAAGTATCAGAAAATTCAGGTGAAACTGGCTTAAGGAAACAATGGAATTTTATTGCTAAAAACAAAAATGTGAATTTGCACATATACATTTAAATGAGAATTTAATATATAAATAAATATCTATTAAGCTATATATATATTCTTATACATATGTACCTATAAAATATATGCATTTGTACTATATATGCTCATATATTAACTCATTTGATGCTCTGAGGGAGGTACTATTACCATCTCACTTTATAGATAAGGAAGAAATTAAGTAACATGCCCAAAGTCACATAGTAAATACTAAAGCCAGAGTTTGAATCTAAGTAGTCCAGTGCTTGGATTCCATCACACAATGCTGCTTCTTATAATGATGAAAAGGGCAGGGACAGACAAACTCCAGGCCTGGATGGAACCAGGGCTTCAACCACAGATATCAGGGTTCAAGGGATTTCTCCCATATCTCATCTCTGCTGTTCACCATGTCAGCCCCATTCTTGGGCAAGTAATTCTCTCTTGATGGCAAGATGTTGCCAGAAGTTTTAAGTAAGAGAATGTCTATACAGGAAACTCCTCAGTATAGCTGTTATTGGTTCAAATTTGGCCTTGCAACTATCACTGAAAGAAAAAACCTCCCTGGATGAGGACCAGGCCCATGGGTTGGATTGGGCTTGAGTCACAAGCTACTACTGAAGCTGAGTTGGAGAAATTCCTTCTGGACCATATGGACTGATGGTGGAGGGGGAAAGAAAATCAGAATATAGAATTTATTACACTGGCAAAATAAAAATGTCATTGAGGCATACTTAAAAGACTTTCTTTGCTTCACATTTAATAAGTAATCACATATTTAATAACTCATAATTTAATATTTAAA